TAAACAGAGTCAATAAGCTCCTGATCCTTGTTTTAGCCCTCAAAAAAAATTTTTTTAAGTATAATTCTATCTCCATGATAAATTACTGACTGAACTTCTCGTCAAGTATATTTAAACATTTACTAGCTTAGTTTGGATAATTTAGGGGGGGAAAATAAACTGCAGCCAAGAAAATAATTTGAAAGAAACGGCACAAGATGATGAGAAATTGGGGTACTACATGCTTTTAGAATTAGCAACATCCCAAGAGGTTCAATATATTAAAAAAAAAAAGCAAGATTCTTTGAAGAGGAAGTATATTACATATGTATTGAATTATAATTGTTTTAAATAAATACATGAATGTTTATGATTAACTGAGGAAGGAATGGTAAGTGTTAGGATTTTCCTCATATTTAGGCATCAGCAACATGTTTTAATTTTCTGTAAAAGTCTAAAGTATTACAGGGTGAGACTACCCAGAATGATTCTCCAAAATGAAGTTTAATGTGGCAAAAAAGGTGGGGGAAAAAAAGGAATCTAATTACCTTGTCTGAGACTCTGAAATCACAATCAGGTCTTTTTAGAATCACAATACATTTTTCTGAAATCATCTGACCACCTAAGCTTATTTCTGTAGGTAGTTCTGCTAATTAATAGGCTCCAATCAGACACTCATGGATTACATCTATAAAAAAAAAACCAAAAAAAAACCCCAAACAAATCATTTCTATTGAAAAGACAAAAACTTCACTGACATTTGCTCAAGAATTTTGGGCTTCCCCTTAATTACTTGTAAATTAATTTATCATCAATAACAAAAGCAGCAGCAGCCAGGTCCTGAGAAGTTACAGCATTCACTATCTGTCAGTCTATCTTATGGGAGAACCTGTGTGCTGCTGTGATACTGGAAGCTATGCCGCTGGCATATCAAATACCTGCGGGACAGCCATGGTACACAAGTTTCAGCTGAGCTTCTAGGGCAAGACAGACTAGGTCCAAAGGCCCAACAATACACTCCCAAAAGAAAAACTCCCCAGAAAAACTCTAAATGAATGACAACAGTATATTGTCCGAGAAAATGCTGAAGAGAGGAGTCCCTGTGTGACACACAGTAGTGGATTGAGGATCCCAATGACTGTGAAGATGGCTTAAGAGTGGGCAACAAGTTTCCTTTGGTTGTACATGAGATCACCATGAATCAGAGCCCACTCACCCAGAACTAACAACACATGTAGCATGCTAGGCAATTATTTTCAACCTCTGGGAGGAAAAAATATTTAAGGCAAAGATCTATTTAAGGGAACATGAAAAATGCTAATAGCAGAACTTAAAATCGTATCCAGATCTTTCAGTGACCAATCATTCTGGTCTTGAGGTCCCCACGCTAAGTCTAGGGAAATTTTTCTCCTCAGAAGTCAACTTCACAGAGAAAAACAATCAACGCCACCACCACCAGTGTTAAAAACAATGTCCAACAATCCAGACCCATGAAAGACTGACTTCTATTTACCTTTCCTGTGTGACATATTTAGAGGGATCCTGGAGAAGATGGCTGAAAGTCTACACAGAAAAGTGCTCGTGGAATGAATGCCATGTTTACAGACTTCAGCTAGAATCTTGTCCCTTACATTAAAAAAGGCTGCCAGCTACTGTACTTGTAACAAACATCTTCATCAGGTTTTTGATCACTCTACTTGTTTTCTTCCTTCCGCTGGTCTTAAATATGTTTTATCCACTCTCTTTAAGGCAGACTGCTTTTCTTTCCTTTTACAACAGCTTTTGGAACAGCCCAACTTTCACAAAGAAACTCCTATGACTACCTTCAGAGCCATATTATTTGTCATTTAAAAATCTTATTATACACAGTTAAATACATATGCAGTACAGTACTCCATCTACTTTCCTGATGCAATTAAAACTAGACTAGTTCTACATTGATGCACTGTGGTAAGGATATAACTCATTCTAAGTCTTTGGGCTTTAAAGTATCAACTACAGAACATCTGTCTAAAAAAATACCGTATTTACTCGCGTATAAGCCAACCTAAATATCAGCTGAGGGACCTAATTTTACCACAAAAACTGCGTTAAAAATGTGCCGAAAAAACTCAGCTTATACATGAATATATACAGTAACAGTTGTTCACAAAGCAGAAGTACCACAGTCCTTATCACCTGACCTTCTGGACAACCACAGCCAAGCATATTCTGAATTGACAGAACTCTTAACATGCAAGCGACATTATGACAACCTGAAAGGCAGCTGAACAAAGTCAAGTGGAAACATACTTATGCTTCCTCTTGAAATGTGTCTCAGCAGCACTTAGCAGTATCCCCACTGTACTTTTCAGTCATTTCCTTTAAGGCAGTGAGTGGTTCTGAACCTTCCTAATGCCGCGACCCTTTGAGACCCTTTAATACAAGTTCATGTTGTGGTGACCCCAACCACTAAATTATTTTTGTTGCTACCTCATCACTGTCATTTTGCTACTGTTATGAACTGTCATGTAAACCTCTGATATGCAGGATGTATTAGGCGAGCCCTGCGAAAGGGTCCTTCGACCCTCAGGTTGAGAACTGCTGCTTTAAGGGGTCCAAAAGAGAGAAGGAAACCTCCAAGGTGAGAACGCACACCAGTCAACCCTAAGTCCATCCAGTCTTTGGACTCCAGTCGCAAAGACACTGTGTAAATAGGAGCTTCCTTAAAGTACGAGTTTCTCTGGTAAATCTGGTCTGTGAACGCTGGAAAAAAAGAAAAGTTCAACATCACCCACAGTAAAATCACTTCACTGCTAATTTTAACGAGACCATGGGTCCCTCCATACCTTCCACCCCCCAAGTCTGCCACTAAGAAGCAATCTACAGTTCACATTTTTCTTTCAAGTCAATAAATACTACTCGTACATTATAGCACTTCTACCTCGCTAATAAAAACCTACATGAGTTTCCTCGTTAAAAGCTGCAAATTTATTAGATGAGACATCATACATCATAATCAGTTCACTACATGCAACTTTCCACACACATTTAACTGTTCTATTTTTCCAACTGGTGTTTTAATTTCAAGATCTCTCTCAGCTTACTAGAGAAAGGGAACAGGTTTGAGGCATGGGGAGAAATACCAACATAACAAATGCAGTTTCTTTTCTGATTGCCACCACCAGAGTCTACACTCTAGGGGTGGAGGGGAGGCAACTAGATAACGAAAAATAAAATAGAAGCAGCATTTAGGATAAATGAAAGGTACACCTTGCTACTACCATTCACATCATTTAGTCACCTCATGAAAAAAAACACACTAGTAAACACAATACTGGATTTTAATTTCTGGTTCCTTCCAGTTTTGTTCCAACACAAAACATACTTGTCCTCAGAGTTGAGTCTTTTATCCAGAACAGTTGTTGGGGAGAATAGAAAGTATGAGGAACTTATACGCTGTACTGGGCATAGTGGCTGTGTTGGGCAGCTAACTGAAAGGTGAGTCGTTGAACCCCAGGAAAAAGAAAGCTGCAGTCTGCTGGCAAACCTTACGGAAAGGTCTACTGTCCTAAAGGGTCTCTGTGTCTCAATCAACCGGGCAGCAGTGGGTTATGACTCCTTTCCCCTCGCTTTCTATCTGTACAATCATGATGCTGTTTTGAGAGATGTAAACCTGATCACATTTTTCTCTGTCAGGGATAAACAAAACCTATCACGAACCCAAACAGAAAAACTGAATCTTCACAATTAAAAAATCTAAACTCACATTACTGAGCAAACAAAAACAAATTCCACCAAGCCCAAAAGCTAACATTTCTTCTTAACTACAAAAGTAGTGAATCTGCAATGTGGGAAACAGGCAATGCCAGTTCGAAAACAAAAGATCAGCTGCCATAAAAACTAGCAACGTTTTGCAAAACAAGAAAAAGTAAACCTCCTTTGAACCTAAAACAAATAGAAGACCCTTTCATACACTTAGAGCTTCATTCAGTCAGAACCTGATCATACCATACATCTGGAACTATTTGCTAATAACCAATTTGATAACCAAACTGGGGGAAGGCTGTTGGTGCTGTTAAAACCCACATATTCCCATGATTAAAATCAGCTAAGTGGACATTTAAAAATAGCTCTCTTCCCCCATTACTGCTCTCTTGCCTCGACTTGCACATGCAAAAATTAAAGTAAATGGTGAGTTTCTGATTTACAATATTTTTCCGGCTCAGAGCTTGTTTCCGTAGGCCTGTGCGGTTTCAGGGTTGAAAACACTCTCAAGACAAAATATTGTTTGAACAACCTAACAATTACCCAGACTTCTTTTAGACTTCAGGTAAAATGAGCATCCTCAACTCCTCCACAGGGCATTGGAGAACGCGTTATTACTCATAAATGCTTTCAGGTCCTCGGACACTCGGCTCGGAAGATCAAGGGTATCCATCAATTAAAGGGCTCTTCCGGACCTCAGTTTACCCACTTATGGAAACTGGCTTATTAACTTGCTTCGCAAGGGGCCCCGGAGGTGTCATTAATTAGTGTTTGCAAAATGCCGAGATCCCGAGATGAAAGGCGACGCGAGAGCCACGTAGCGACGGGGACAACAATCCTAACAATAAAAAGAATGACTAACTTGGAAGTCTGCGTTATGTAAGGAAGGAGAGAGAAGTTCTCGGATCCGCACAAACAAAAGAAAAACCCACCGCCCTTTGTTTCCCTTTCATTTCTCTCTTCCTCCACGGAGCCGCCCGCGGCGGCGGCGCGTGGTCGGCCGGGCCCGGGAGCGCGAGGGGCGCCGGGGCTCGGAGTTGGCCGCCCCGCGGTGGGGGAGGGCGCGCCGGGCCCGCTCCGGACAAAGGCGCTTCCTTCGGCGCGGGCGCGGGATGCACGCGCCGCAAATTCGGCGCCCGGCCGCCTGCGAGCGCGGGGTCGCGCGGACCGGAGCCGGAGCCGGGCCGCCGCTGAGGAAGTTGCGCGCCCGCCTGCCTCGCACCCCTCGCCCGCCCCGCCGCGGTCCCTCCCGCGGCGGCTGCCGCCACACTCACCGGACAATTGCCGGAGGACGGAATCCCTGCACGGCCCCCGAGACCCTGAGGGAGCGGGGGAAGTGTGTGTGTCGTGGGCGCGAGGAGACAGCCTGGCGTTCCGCCGCCGCCTACCACGCCAGCCGGCCAAGCCCGGCGAGGGGAAGTTAACCGCGGAGCCTGGCGCTGAGGAGCCGCGGGCGGAGGAAGAGGCGCAGGGCCCGCTTTGTGGCGCGCTCCCGGAGAGCTCAAGACAAATCCAACCGCGAGGTAAGGCTGCTGCTGCTGCTGCTTGCTGCTGGCGGCGGCGGCGGCGGCGCCCCCCGACGGTACCGTCCGCCTCACACCGCCTCTGGGTCACTGACACACACTCGGTGGGAGGGGCGGGGACAAGTGGGAAGGCGGGGCTAGAGGGAGTGTCAGGGCAGGGCCACAGCGGTGGGCGGTCCGGAACCCCAGAGGCCTCTTGGGAGTTGTAGTTCTGGGACTGAGAAGAAAAAGGATACGTTGTTGTGAACCCTTCCCTCGCTCGCCTTGTACAGCGCATGCCTGGCGGAAGAACGCTTGGCCCCCGTTGTTACCATGGCGACCAACACGTTGAACTCCAGAGAGCTCTTTCAGTGAAAGCGGCTGTTCGCTCACCAAAAAGGTCCAGTTTTGTATTAAAGGTTACAAACTTCCAATTGACAAATAACCCATAGTTATGTACCGACAATGTCAAGCCTATTAATATTACAATTTGAGGTATATTCAATGGCTTACAACAAACGAACACTACTTTGGGATGTCCTGTGCATCATGCACATCAAACCATTATCATGTTTAAAATGTTTTACTGTATCTGGATGTGTTTCTTTAATGCTTTTTATGCCTAAAAACCATTCTGGTACACTATCTACTGCCTACTAAGACCAACATTTGAGAGTTGTACCCAATTGTTCTGATTTGCATAGAAATTAGATTCAAAGACAGGAATGGAACTCAATAATGAGTGGACTGCCTGTCTCCTCTCTGAGGGATCCTGCTCTTAGCAAGTCCTCTTACTTCTCTCCACCTTCAACTTCTATCCTCGCCACTCACAAATAACCAATGAAATGGATCATCCTGCAGGCTCTGCAGTCTCCCCTGCTGCTGAATTTTCTTCCACAAATCCTGCAGCACAATGCCCTTTTTCCTGGCTTAAATTCCCTCTATCTGAAACACAAGCTTCTGTGCTGAGACTTACAAAAATATAGTTGTGTCGGTTATAAGATTGTTAGATACATCTAAAATGCACTGTAAGAACCTCGTGTTAATTTCATGTCTCCATTAGTCACACTTGACTTGAAGGTTCTGGAAACCCATGGGTGTGGGGGGCAGGTGTCGGAGGTCAGTTCGACTCTGCCCTTTAGGATGGCTATGCATTGGGATCAACTCAATGGCAGTGAGTTTTTGTGTTTTGTGTTTTTTTTTTAACTTTAAGGTAAGAGTAAGATTGTTTTCATTTTAAGGCCTGTCTTTTTAAAGAAATACAAATTTTATAAAGTAGCTATAAATTCAAAAGATTACTGGAAAGTTGAAAAATTGACATATATATATCATTGTGTGTATAGTTGTTTATATAAGTTTATTAGTAAAGTTTCATTTTGTCTTAAAATATATATATGATTTTTCTACTGGCATGATGAACTTTTAAATGCAGCCACACTGGGCACCCAGGAGCAAACAGGCCACCCCTCAGGGTGTTGAAGGACTAGATGCATTACTGGAACTTCGGAGGGCTAAAGGTCCTGACCTAAGCTTTTTTGTTTTCTCTCTCTGGCTACATAGACTCCCCCTACCCTGGAAGAAAAAGACCAATGTTTTTAAATTAGAACTGCAATTTGGAGCAGAGAAAGTTAAGCTTTTCAAACAGTCTCAAGATCAGAAATCCTTATGCCTGCAGATCCACATAATTATTCACTCATTAAAAACAAAAACCAAATACTTTGCTGGGTGGTGGTGGTGGTGGTGGTGGAAGGTGAAGAAACGTGCTCAATTATGATGTTTTTGTTGGCATGCAACAGAAAACCCAACTTCAAACTAACTTAAGCAATAAAAAGTTTTATTGTCCTATCGAACTCAAAAGTCTAGTGAAAAGGCAAACTACAAGGTAGTTGATTCAACAGCCCAGTGATGTCATTAAGAACCGTATTTTGGTGTGTCTCCTTATATTTCTTTCCTTAGTATTGGTTTGTGGTCATACAATGGTTGCCAGCATCTCCTGTGACTGTGTCTGTCTATCAAGGTCCACACAGAAACCAGAAAACAAGGTCATTATTACAACTTCTTCCATAAAGAAAACTCTTGGAAGGCCCAGTAATTGAGTTGCATGTCTACACCTAAACTGAAAAGGGTGGCAAGGAGAATGTTAGGCTAATTTCTTTAGGACTAAGATATGTACTTTATTCCTCCAAACCAAAACCAAATTCACTGATGAGGGGACCATAATATCTGCCACAAGAAACAAGTCAAGGGTTTCTATGTATTACGCAAGGGGTCTGAACAGAAGACCTTAGTGAAAACTAATACCATATAGATGGTTGTTGAAATGATAGGGATAGATAGGGTTGTTGAAATGATAGAGGAGTCCATAATAGCACCCCGGAAAATGCCACACATAAAGAGTAGGTAGGAAGATCATGAAAATAAAATAGAAAGTAGGAACAGAATTGAGATTCAGCTAGTTCACATCAGTATGACCATACTCACTGTTTAAAAACAAAAGTTAAAGACAACCAGATGAAGCCCTGTTGGTAGGCCCCTTCAGTTCCTTTAGATACTCTGGTGGTAGAGTGGGTAAAGCATTGTGCTGTTAACTGAAAGGTGGTCAGTTTGAACTCAGTAGCTGCTCAATAGGCGAAAGAAGAGGCAGTCGGCTTTCATAAAGATTTACAGCCTGGGAAATCCCATGAGGCATTCTACTCAGTCCTCAGGGCCACTATGAGTCAGAATGGGCTTGATGGCAGTGGGTTGGGGTTGTTTTGGTTTACCAAAAACCAACCCCACCGCAATTACGTAGGTCAATACCCATGCTTAGGCATTTATGAATAGGCACTATAGGGTTTTTAAGACTTTGCTTCATCTTTCTCCCTCAGAGTGGCTGGTGGGGTCGTAACACCAACCTTCCTGCCCTGGCTGTCCAGGCCTCTCCCTCATCCCTTCCGTAGGATCTCGTAACTAAGGTGGCAACTCCTGGCTTCAGTGAGGATGCTCGTAGGTCGGGTCAGAAGGCAGAGCCACTTGTACTGAAGTCTAGCTTGCTACTTATTCAAATATAAAGGACTGATTATGTTGGACATGATCGAACTATGGAATGATATGACATGTATTAATTCCCAAGTTACAGCAAAAAAAAAAAAAAAGATTCAGGAATGAGTTCTGGGCTCACACTAAATCCTAGCTCCAACTTAAGAACAATTAATTCTTACATCATGGCTGTGCTCCATACCTTCATGAAATGATTACTGAAGATAAGGGTGCTACAGCAAAGTGTAGTGAAGAAAGCAGATGGTGCCTGGCTATCAATCAGAATTGTGTCTGGGATCTTAAAGTAAGGTGACCAGACGTCCCGCTTTTGGTGGGACAGCCCAGATTTTTACCAATTTTTCCCATGTCCCGCAGCATTTTTAAAAAGATTTAAAAAATCTTTCCGAGTTTTGGAAAGAATGCATGACAAGGTAGGTTTTCGGCTGCCATGTGGCTATTTCGCCAGGATATGAGTTTTATCAATGGTGTCCCGCTTTACCAATGTTAAAATCTGGTCATCTTATCTTAAAGGCTTGAATTCAAACAAGCAGCCATCTGAGCGAGGGTTCAACTAAATCCACACAGAAGCAGCACACCAGCTTGTGTGATCCAAAGGTGACAGATACAAAATTTATATACGGTGAAGAGAAAAGTACCAGAGCTAAAATTATGGACACCCAATTTGGAGAAGGCTATGGAGGACAGTGAGAGCCCAAAACCCACCTGCAGAGTCTCTAGTCAGACTGAGCTGCTGGCAGATCCGCTCTAGCTAAGGCAAGAGTCCCGAACAGCTTTTCTGTCAGGTAGAGACCATTGTAATCTTGATTATGGTGGATGAAACTCGTTATTTGGCCAGTTGACCTCTTTACAGACATGACCTGCATTTGTACTGGGGGCAAGTATCTCTTAATTGTTCCATGACAGAAATTTCTTCCCTGGCTTTTTGAATGTTGATGAGGATCTTCTTTCTGCCTCTTACTCATTATTTGTAATTTTGTCTTTATACTAATAATGATCTTATCCTTACCACCTTAGTGTGATTTGTTTTTCATTGTTTTCTGTTGGGTTTCCCAGCTGTGTATAATGATAATAACTGATACAAGGTGTTATAAGGAATGCAGGGATGGGGGATGGGTGATAGGGAGGGAAAGGGGATTTGGGAGTAAACAATGAAGGGGGGAGGGCGGAGGGGGTGCTAGAACTGATTGTGATTGCACAACTCAGTTTGGGGGAGGTTTAACCATGGGTTGGGGGTAGGCTCTAAGATGGATGCGGTGGTGATTGTACAACTCCCCTTGATGTGATTGAACGATTGAACTATTCAATTGTATGACATGTAAATTATGTGCCAATAAAGCTATTGGGGAAAAATATATCTAAAGGACTGAAAAGTATGAGTCAGTCTTCTCTTTCCAGACATGAGAGAGTAACAGGATCTGAGTATCAACCCACCATAAACAAGTAGAAAAAATGGACAAAACCCAGGAAATGTGTAGACATGAGGTAACAGGCAGTGCAGGTCTGTGATCGCTGATAAGAGAGAGAGAAAAAAATGAGGTGAGTCCTAATAAATTCCAGGCATTCTATCAGGAGAAATTTCCAAACCACAGTACCAAGAAAATTCAAACCAAACCCACTGCCAGTTCTTAGCGACCCTGCAACTATAAATCTTTAGGTAAGCAGACAGTCTCCTTTTTCTCCCTTGAAGTGGCTGGTGGGTTTGAACCTGCAACATGGCGGTTAGCAGCCTTGCTGAGTTGAGGAGACACAGATGAGAGTTCAAGGAAACCAAAGTGATTAGAATCTGCAGGTCAGATTTCCACAAAGGAGTGAACTACGCAGAGAAAGAATTGTGGACATGGACAGTTTGTACACGGGGAGAATGAGAATGGAACAACAGGAGGCTGGACAAAAATAACTTTGCAGGAAGAACAGTTATTAGAACCCCACATGGGTCTGGGAATTATTCAAGGTTTCTTCAGACAGAGAAGAGCGATTTCCCTGAAT